TCACTTTTATAATTAATCTACGAAGGAAAGTCATTCAACTTTAGCATTTTATAGTGCATGAAAAGCCAAATTTATTTGGAACCATCGTTCCAATTGGATTGTTGTGATGTCAAGCCAGTGGTCTATACTCTGCTACTTTTTCAGTACGCTTATAAGCTCTTGGTTTAGGCCTGGAACAAAACATGAATTTTGTTTTAGCTGAGTAGATTCCCCAAGGGTCAAATTAAGTGATGAATATATAAATAATAAAAGTTTTATTTCACATATGACTTGTGTTTCATTCAAACATGGATACCACCTGTGACTATTATACTAACGGGACTGGAAACTGATCGATCTGTTGAGATTTCATTGCCCCGATAGCGGATTATTGATTTTTTTGTTTTGATTGACAGCTTATCGTAATATCACGTAGTAAATTAGCATTCGGTACATGAATGTAAACAATAGATTTCGGCAAACAAGTCAGCATATATGTAATACTGTTAAAATTGGTGGATTTGAAATAAAAAAATAATTATTAAATTAATAAGTTTAAATGCAAAAAATATATATTGTTTACGAAAAATTGTTAATAAGTAATCAATATATTAGTGTTGAAAATAAACCAGATATAGTCGAAATGCCGGCGCTTTACTTGACCGCTAAGAAAACAACGTGTCAAAGGTTAACAGATCATAATTAATCCTGATAAAAACAATAAGTGTGCAATAAAAACAATGTTTACAATTTCAGTTCATAATTAATTCATATAACAAAAGTTACCCGGGTCTCATAAAGATATAGCCACATTGTTTTGAACTTTTGTGAACTTCGTGTTTACACCAAAATTTCAATATGGCTGTGAACGAGCCTACTTTTGTAGTTCTAATTATGGAACCTAGTGTACATATTTTCACGAAGTCATATGCTAATGCCACCAGAAGACCATTACTAAGCAAAATTAACCCTGATTATAATAAAAATATTGTACACATAAAAAGGAGTAGGTAATTTTATAGGAACAGTGTAATTTATTTGAGCCGTGCATGTGGGTTCCGGTTGTTATGAGAAAGAGATTTATATTCCACTTTTTATTTTAAAAAGTGACAATAAAAATAGGCAAATCCAAACTATAACCTATAAATATGATTTTACAACAAACCGAACTTGCATATCTCTTTTCAATCAACAGTTATAAGAAATTTTATGAATCATATACTTTTTTCCACATCGTCCCCACGCTATTTTCATCCTGAAAATTTCAATCTTTATGTGTCATTTTTTACACTTAAGACGGAATTTGGTGATTAATAACAACTGTCAAAGATCGAGATATCTTTTATCATTATAGTAATCATGTTTATATTAAGAATTATCATTTCGAATAACTATAAAATAATAAAAACAAATTACCGAAATTATAAGATCAAGGCACGCTGTCACTGTCAAAACAATATGGCGTATCGATAAATAGCGCAGGTCAAGTCTCGTTCTAACGACCGTGATGTTGATATTATTACACTGATTGGTGTAACTTTTTCCAGTCCCGTTAGTATAATCATGGAAGTAATATTTAAAATTTTAAATATTACTTCCATGGTATAATAGTCCCAGATACCACTGGCACTGCTTAACAATATTTCCCAAGAGTTTTATTTACAATGCGATAGAACAGGACATAAAATAAGGTTGATAAAAGCGTTGATATGAGCGCTAAATGTTTACATATCATGAGTTTGAAATGGGGAGTTCTGAAAGATAGCAGGGTTAATTAAAACATTATTTACATTACTAGGAACTCATTATGTGCGACTTTGAGAATTTTGTTCATTAACACAAATTTCAGCATAAAGTTGGAATTGAGGAACCCTGAGCATCGCATGCGATTGCTGCTGTCAGTGTAAAAGAGTAATGTTTATTTAAAAAGTGTGTACATTTATCAGTAAGATACAGAACTTTGAAAAAAATTAAAGTTTTTATTTAGATGCTATTTCTTGATCTTAAAAACTCCATAAAAGTTTGACACAGCTATTGATATCTAAAAAAACTTTAACTATATAGACTAAACACTGAATGCAGGAGCAGACATAGAAATCCATGATACCTATGTCTCGCTTCTGCAACATAAACGTCGCAGGCTCTACACAAATTCTGACCAAGTTTCATCAAAATCCATGAAAGTTTACAAATTTATCATGTAAAAAATAATTTACTGACTGTCTGTAAATGTTAACAACAATGAGGGTGCCCAGGCTGAAATTTCTCACCTGCTTTACTAACCATGATTGATTTTATGTTAATAGTCCTAAAGACAGTTTTAATTCAAGTATCACAAAAACTTAACATTTACAATGATCCATAGAATGAGGACAAAGTCAGAAAAAACCAAGCCAAACATGTGGTCCGAGTACACAGTTATCGTCCTTTGATTTTGAATAAAGTCCCTAGTGTGGACAGTGTGCTGCTTGCCAATTTTTTTAGTACCCCTTCCAAATGTATTTCTTCATGTTTTATGCCTCAAATAGCAAGTAGGGGGATGAAATTACACTATAAAAAAATTTGGGTCATGAATTGTAAAGTAAAGTAGTGATTTGGTCCAGCTGAAAAAGGTTAAAAATTAGCACTTCGGAAGCTGTCAAAAGATTTCAAGACCCCCTTAACATAGAATTGTCCATATTTTGAGTTAGAGCCGATGAAGTTTTCTATAATTTTGATATAATTTGTCCCAAAAGGAGTACAACACACTGTAAAAATATTATTGAGAAAGCGCAGGTGGGATTTTTTTTATTTTCATATATTGTCTAAAAGAAATGCACTACGAAATAACTGTGTACTCGGACCTAAGAGGCGAAATCAGTAAATATAGAATCTGTACTTTGGCAACTTCTCTGAATGATTTAATGGTGTCAATTTGTCAAATAGCATGAAACTAATTAAAGGATTTAAACTTTTATTTGATAGAAATTCTGCAAAAATTACCCATTTTGGCATTATATGGTCAAAATAGGCATTTCAAAGCTTTTTCAATTTTGATGCATAAGTGGCATTCTGACTTTCTATGTGACAGGTTTTCCTGTGTCAATATTTGTGTTTCTATGCTTGAACCCAGTTGTATTACTCATTTGTGAACTCTGAATCTACAGAAAATAAGATTATCTCAGACAATATGTGCAAAATGTGTTGTATAAATGACCCTCGTCTAACGGCCTGTTTGGATCAAGTTAAATGTGAAGACCTTGGTACATAAAAGTTGAAGTCCATAATAAAGATTTCACTAAATTTGTATTAAAAGCACTTCACAATGTCTTTTGTATCTGTTTCATTTCACATAGTATCTTTCTTTTCTTATGTTAAATAGCAAGTGGATCAAATATAAGCCTGTTGAGGCTAAAATTGCATGCAAGTTTTTCACTAAAAAGTGAAAAATCTTTGTATCAGACCATACTGTCTGCAAAAAAAGTTGAATGCAAGAGTCCTTTTATGCTCAGATTTATTGTATCATGTAACCTGAGTATAGAAATTATATAAAAGACACAAATTTTTATTTCCTATAGCTTCAGTATGCATTTTTAAATGTAAATATGTGCTACGGCCTAAATTGACCCTAAATTATTTTCAGTCTTACTTGGCTTAAGACCCTTTTATACTAATATGGTATGCTATTTGTGATTTTTCTTTCCATTTAAAGTACATTTAATACATATGTAAGGATTATTTATAACCAAAAAACTTCACAAATTTAAAATTGCTGGAAAATATTACATCTTCATGTAAGGCCCCCCTTCATTGGAAAACCTCCATTTTTTGGCACAGGCTCATATAAATTTGACTTTTAAATAATTGTGATAAGACTGATAAATCAAATGAGTATTCTATTGCTTTAAATACATAATATGTCATCTATTAAGGCATTTAAAATGTAATTTTTTGCAATATTTTAATTTTTAAAGCCCCAAATGTTGATAGTTGAAATTTTTCAATTTTGACGTCAAAATTTAACACGCGAAGTTGAATATAGAATTTATCATATTGTCTATAATATATATCCTATTGCCATGAAACTTTGTCGGCAGTCTCATAATTTATTAAGCTTTGGTCATACTAAGTTTTATTAAGATTGGTCAAATTTTTCTATCCTATTAGGTCCGAGTACACAGTTATCGTCCTTTGATTTTCGTTGTCCACGAATAAAGTCCCTAGTGTGGACAGTGTGCTGCTTGCCAATTTTTTTAGTACCCCTTCCAAATGTATTTCTTCATGTTTTATGCCTCAAATAGCAAGTAGGGGGATGAAATTACACTATAAAAAAATTTGGGTCATGAATTGTAAAGTAAAGTAGTGATTTGGTCCAGCTGAAAAAGGTTAAAAATTAGCACTTCGAAAGCTGTCAAAAGATTTCAAGACCCCCTTAACATAGAATTGTCCATATTTTGAGTTAGAGCCGATGAAGTTTTCTATAATTTTGATATAATTTGTCCCAAAAGGAGTACAACACACTGTAAAAATATTATTGAGAAAGCGCAGGTGGGATTTTTTTTATTTTCATTTATTGTCTAAAAGAAATGCACTACGAAATAACTGTGTACTCGGACCATGTACACCCAGAGTTGACCTATTGCTTATAGTATGCTAGAAATAGACCAAACCGTAAAAACTTAATATTGACTAATGAACCACGAAAATGAGGTCAAGATCAAAGGAACTCTGCCAGACAGATATAAACAACTTACAATTATTCCATGCATAAAAAATAGTTGACCGTATTGAATATACTATCAAAGAAACAGACTTAACCATGAAAACTCAACATTGATCAATTAACCCTGACAGACAGACATGAAAAACTTAGTCATTCCATTTACCAAATAAAATTGACCTTATAGGATTAAAAAAAAACAACTAAAACACAAAAATTTTACATTTACAAATGAACTGTCGCTTTTGCAGGCTCGAAAAAAAATGGCTAAATAAGCCATCAAAATTGAAAAAAAAACAAAAAAAACAAAAAACCAGACATATACATACTTGAATCTCAGCTGCTCTAAAAATATAGTCATTTTTTTTAACAGTTAATACTCAGTATGTTCATATGTACACAGACATGATAATTATTGTGAAATATATTTCAGTGTGCATAGATTTAGAAGCTAATCTGGCTAGTTCCGGTTTGGGAGGCCAGTGAATTAGGAAAGAATTGGTACAAAAATTCCAATATTTCCAAAAATATCGTAGTTGATTGGCACTGATTTGTTTTGAGTCATTGCTAATATAAATTTCATAAAAACCTAAGAAGTAATTTAGGCATGTAAAACTGAGCAGTCATACATCAAATATTAGGACATTTAAGAAATACACAAATAAAATGCTCCGCTGGGCACAGCTTGATACGACCGCAGAGGTCAAACCCTGAACAGTTTGGGCAAGTATGGACACAACATTCAAGCTTGATACAGCTCTGAATTTGGATTGTGATTAAATATTTGACACAGCATAGGTTTCTGACACAGAATGAATGTGGTCTAAGAACTTAAAAATTTTTAATTTACCTATTCAAACCATATCATTATTATTTGCTTTATATATAAATCGGAAATAACCAACTTAAAATGGAAAATTTTAAAGAAAAAAAAAAAGGAAAATAAGGAAAAAAATGCTTGTTTTTTGCCATTTTTTGGCCCCTAATTCCTAAAAATTTTGAGGCAATTACCCCCAAAATCAATCCCAGCCTTCCCTTTGTGGTATGGTACCTTGCAGTACAATTTCAGAGAGATCCATACACTTAAACACAAGTTATTGACTGGAAACTAGAAAAATGCTTATTTTTGGGCCCTTTTTCCTAAATGTTTTGGGCAATTACTCCTAAACTCGATTCCAGCTTTCCCTTTGTGATATGGAACCTTGTAGTACAATTTCAGAAAGATCCATACATCTACATACAAGTTATTGTCATGAAACTAGAAAAATGCTTGTTTTTTGCCCCTTTTTTGGTCCCTAATTCCTAAATTTTAGGCAATTACCCCCAAAATCAATCCCAGCATTCCCTTTGTGATATGGAACCTTGTGGTAAAATGTCATAGAGATCCACACACTAACACACAAGTTATTGTCTGGAAGTTACAAAAATGCTTATTTTTGGCCCCTTTTTCCTCAACTGTTGGTACCATAACCCCCAAAATCAATCCCAACCTTCCTTTTGTGGTATTGAACCTTATGATAAAATTTCATAGAGATCCATTCACTTAAACTAAAGTTATAGTGTGAAAACCAATGTGTCTTCGGACGATGACGACGCGACGCCAACGTCATACCAATATACGACTGCAAAATTGTCGTATAAAAAATTGCATGACTAATTTCAAAATATGTACATTTGTATCTAAAATATTGTCAAAAGTCCAACATAGTTATTGTAGCATACAGTGTGTTTGCAAACACAAATACAGCTATATACTCCAGTTTTTTTCTCCTGAAAATGCAGCATGTTAATACATGTATGTAGAATTCTGAGAGTTTATGATTTATATTAATATTTGAACTCAAACATAAATAAGTCTTTTATTTCCTCTGTGACAAAATAATTCCGTCAACAGTTCTTCACCACGATGTAAGACTATCTTTCCCATCGGAATGAGCAACTTTATTTCTGAAACAAGTAAATGACAAATTATGTGACCTTAATATATATATGAAGATTTGTGCACATACTGATAAAAGATATTCAATAAGACAATATTATATATAACCAGACTTATTAGGTATCAGATCACCTTGAAATGACGATGCTACAAAACAGGTTTAAAAATAATATGAGTCTAAAAAATTGTGTGCAACGTTCAGAAATTTCCCTCAGACGCTATTTCCTGCTATAAAAGCTTCTATCAAAGTTTCAGAACATTCATTGGAGATCTAACAAAATTATTGATTTCTAAAATATTCAATCCCTGACTGTATGCATGTATGTATAGGTAAATAACGGAAAAATAAAAAAAAATATTTTGAAATGTTTGCTTCAATTATTATCTTTTAATCACCAAAAAGCCTCAACAAGTTTGACACTTGTTGATCTTTGAAATTTTTAACCCCAGATTGTATGTTAAGTTTAACATTTCTCAGTAAAATGCAGAAAAATATTTAAAACAAAATTTTTCTCTTCAAATTTTTCCTTGGATATTGTCTATTTGATCAAGAAGAGGCTTCTGTCTAAGTTTAGTAAAATTCCATGGAAGTTATTGATGTCTTAAAAAACCACAGACTGAACCTAAATGTTGACGCCTTCGACAAAGGATTGCGGTCTTGCTTCTGCGACAAAATGTCACAGGCTCAACAAATAAATTGTTGAAACTGTCTTGCCTGTATGTAATTTTGATAGTATAAAGCAAACTTTGAGACAATATGGAAATATTTTAACATGTAAACTATGCAAATCTATCAATGTCAATTCACCATGACTGAGGGGTAGGCCATATAATCTTAATTGAAATGAGACTTGCAAATGCTTATAATATAACTGCATATCAAATATCATTGACCTAATTACCATTATTAGTTCATCTTAAACTAACCCAATAACAAACTTTAACATATAAACGATGTAAAAATTTCAAAGTCAATAGACTAAATAATCTCTATGAAAATGAGATGTGCCAATACTAAACAATGCATACCCAATATCATTGATTTACCATAAGTGGCTCCCCCTTAACTGACCTAATAACAACTTTTACATGTAAACTAAGCAAAAGTTTCAAAATCAATAGAGCATGACTGAGAGGTAGAGGCCAATTGATCTCCATAGAAACAAAATGTGCCAATGCTCAAGTAAATGCATACCAAATATCATTGACCTATCACTAGTTGTTCCCTATAAATTGACCTACATGTTATCAAAAATTAATTCATGGTTGACGTCTCCGTTGGCTGAAACAGCACCCTTTGCAACTTTAGTCGACTCGTTATTGGAGTTATTTCCCTTAAAAGATGTTTTTACTATTTTTGGGAGTTTTTGCCTATTACCTTTAAAAGTGTAGTAGATTCAAATGTAGATAGAAACTTTTAAAAGCAAAAATGATCAGCAGGACAAGATCTACAAATATGTTAACATGACTGAAAATGTCAGTTAACTCTTTATAGAATTATTGCCCTTTCATGATGATTTTTTCCAAAAAATGGCTTTTGTGGAAGATGCAGGTGAGCGACACAGGCTTTTTAAAGCCTCTAGTTTATCTTACCATTTCTATCCTATCTTTTAAAAATATCTTAAGTATTGTTCAAATCCAATTTTAGTTCATGTCTGAGAATACCATTACAGTAATAGTTGTCTCAGTTTATGTCCTAAATTGACATTTACAGTTACGTAATCTCAAAAACAAGAAATGTACCAACTTAATAGCTAGCACTGTTGCATATCCACAGAAACAGATCAAACTCATTTAAATTGTTAATTACATCCAAATTAGAGGCTGGTACTAGTCCATTTGAAACTGAGTGAGGCTGAGTTTGATTAGGAACGGTAGCAAGTGTTAACATTGCGTGTGCTTTTGGAGCGGGTAACTGCAGTTGAGGTGTAGTTGAAGGTTGAATTATATTCTGAATGGCTTGGCCCATTTGTTCCTTTTCTTGGTCAGACACACAATGGTAAACATCCAAAGAGTTTTGTGTCAGACAGATTTGTGTCCCGTCACAGCCATGATTTGAGAATCGGTAAATTTGTTCTTAAATAAAGCTGTTGTACCGGTGGCCCAAATTGAGTGATTTGTGTAGATCTTCGATAAACAGCAGGCTTTACTCAGTTTTGTTATAAATGAACTTATAGAGTCTTTACCAAGCCCCTGTTTAGTATACCACACAGCGTCATTGTCACAAAACCTATCTCTGGGACGCTGCCAAAGACGATTATTTTCAAGATGCAGTTTGGATAGAAGCTTTTAATACGATTTCACAGGGGCGAGTCCTTGTTTTCCATCATAAAACCACCAAAATTCTCCTTTTCATTGGATCTTCTATTTTAAACTAATTCATCCCTTGATTTTTTAACGAACTTTACTACAATATTAGGATTTACATCAACAATAAATGTGTTCTTTGTCATTTCTGGTATGTTTTCAAGCCCTCTTCGGCAAAAATACAGACGAATGTCCATTTGTACCTTGTTCAGCAACCCATATGGTGTGTCAGTTGTCAAATGAATACTTGAGTAAAGTTTGTGGATATCACACTCTTTAATTGCCGGGTAGTGCTGTACATCTCCCTTTCCAAGTGTTTTGAGCTCAGACATTACAGTCTTGAAGATTTCATTTGACGACAAAAAATCTGAGAGTGTCCAGATAAAAACGACTCAATACAGTATTCAGTTGACTCAGTGTGTAGTTTTCAAAGTGTGGTTCTTCTTCATTTTCGAAAACAGGTACGCCCTAAGCATACCTGTACGAACTGTGACACCCGTATATGACACGGAAACCCGGCGTAAAAATCATACTTTATCCGGGCGTCATTGCAGTGTTTAAGGAATGCATGTCCAGGCGTCAACCAGGCGTAAACCAGGCGGAAACCAAGCGTAACTGAGGCGGAAACCAGGCGTAATATTTAAATGAGTACGCCTGGTCCAGAGAAAACCAGGCGTAATATGCAAATGAGTACGCCGGGTCAATAAATAAACCAGGCATAATATCCTTACATAATACTACACTTATTTCAAATCAGTGTATTACCCAAGCTGTGTACTTTTGTGTATTTTATGCAAACTTCTGTACTGTTGCTTTAATTTCTCATTGTTTGACATAAAACTGGAAATATTAACCATTGAAGAAGCTAATATATAAATAAATACATTTTAGACAGACACTGGCTAAAATAAGTTTAAGTTTAAATAAGAATTATGACAATTAATTTTTCTTGAAATAAAACTTCTGCATTTTGATTAACTAAGTTTTTTATAAATTAATGTCCTTTAAAATATAAATGATAATACTGCAATTTAACTTCATGTAAAAAATTTTAATGTTATTATCCAAGGATAAAGGTTTTGGGATTTCAAAATTACTGTTAGAACTTAAAACTTAATAACTTAGGTAATATACTCACATAATTATTATTTACCATGTATTACTTTCCTTTTTTTTTTACAATTTTTATTAATCAATTTGATTCCATATTTCCAAATTCTTCCAAAAAGCACAAAACAAGCTAATTATCCCTGAATGTATGAAGCTGCCATAAGTCGAACTCTTGCAAACTAAAACCAAAGAGCCAAATTTTGAAAAAAAATTCCCATGATCCTTTAAACAAAGCATTATGGGTATTATGATTTACGCCATACCAACCGTTTTACGCCCGTAAGAAAATTTACGCCTTGCTTATTTTAATTTACGCCAGGTTTACCACTTTTTACTACGCCAGTAAGGACTACAAATTTACGTTTCCTGCTCCCTTACGCCTGGATCTAGACAGGTAACTACCACTTACGCCTGGTTTACGCCTTATTTCCAGGCGTAATACGCCTTATAATTTCATACGGGTATTTGCCCTTTTTACCAAAATTTCTGCTTCAGTATGAGAAGCAAATCTTTTCGTTGCCATTGTAGCAGACGTAAATAAATAGTTATTTCCCTTTTACTGCCTATGCAAGCAAAAACAATGCATTGAAAAAAATATAATAATAACTATTTTAATTACTTTTTTATATGTTTATAATGACAAAACCTTATTGACTCATCCCATCAAAGATGGGGTTACATTCGAATATAACACTGACATCTTGTATATCAAAGTAAAAATAAGTATGTGCCTTAACGAATGAATGTTGAATATACACAATACCCCAATTAAACAAAGTTAAAATACGTCAATTTTAAAATGATTTAAAAATAATGTATTAATGAAATGAGTTATTCAGGGAGGGATGGGGGGTATAATTCAGGGCTTCCAAAATTTCCTGACGACAGCCGGACATTTTTCAAAGAATTATTTATGACGGTCAATGATCAGCTGGATACTTAAATGTAACTGAGAGGATGCATAAATTGATATATGTGTCTAAATAATTAGTAGTGTTATATGCAATAAAATTATTTATAACTGTTTTGTTTTCTTCATTCTAAAAATAAATAAAATATTATCCTCGGTATTGTGTCATTTTTCTGTGTATCGTAATACAGTAACCATCATTGCATCAATCAGCTTCAGTACCTGACTGTTCTCATGTTTTTGTTTCTGTTTATATAATCTATCTTCTCTCTGTGAGTACTTAACACTTTGTAAATTAAGGCCATCTTATTTGAAACTGTTGATGTTGGCTTTAATTGCAGTACAACTTGATCATCAATACACGTGATACTTTTCTTTTTGTGTATTTATTACCTGACCACGTGACTTTTACAACTGATGCGGTATTTATAGATAACATTGAGGAGGCCCGATGAAGGATATTGTTTTAAACCGTGTAAAATCTACTGAACAGTGATAACATTTTTCTTTGTACAATTTCCCAACCTGATTTAGAAAATAAGGAATAAATAAAAACATACTTAGTTGATAAATAATTTAATGAATAACAACATGATATTTTATGTAAGCATATAACAACAATAAAATGTCAGAAGAGCACAATGCTGACAAACACACGCAATAAATATTACAATGAGCACATTGAAAAGAAGCACAGATCACAGCACAAGATTAGAGTTCATTTAGTCTAATTAAAGATTTTACATTCATGAGCTTGCTAAATGCATTGTTCTGATAAACATGGCGGTTACGAACGGATTGCCATTTGCGGATAGCAGGAACAGGGTCAAAGTCTTTAACATCTACACCTACTAAGCTTATCCTCATAAGTTGATCTAAAGCGTCAATACCTAGACTACACCTTAGTCGATCATAATTCCCACGGCGGGACTTAACTTTACGTCGGACATCACCTCTTTCTCTATAACATCGGAAATTGTCTGAATAAATTCGGAGCAGGCATTGTTCTCTTGATATAATTTAGAAGTGATCACGGCACCATTTAACTTAGTTAAATTATTTATTGACTGAAATTTGTCCATTGGTTTTTCCTATATATTTTAGTAAATTTTCCCCTTGAGAGTACCCCAGTATTTAACACGATGTACAGTGTTAAATAAAATAATATATATCATACTTATTCATTTATAAATATCCTTATTTGAAGAATAACTTTTAAATATCAGGATAATTTTAAAACTGAATGCTCATTTAAAATAATATCTATAAAGCGTAATTAAATAGGATGTTGTTCCATACACGCTTACATGTTTGACCTCGTTTACCGGATTACCTTTATGTACATTGTTATGCATCATTAATTCTATTGATAAAGATAAGCTAAGGACACCTCATCAAAGGTAACAAACCTGTAATCAGTGAATGATTTATGGCTTCAATATAACTTATTGAAGGGATAATTGTTTGACAGCTTGTTGTTATTTAAATAAAAGAAAACGTGTTTTTTCTACTTTTTATTGATGTACACAAGCTAAAGACCAAGCCGTACATTTATGTACCCAGAGGATTAGACTAACTGAGACACTTCAAAGTATCTGAAATATGCTGCTTCTGTTTTATTAAACCCAATTATGACCGAAATATCTTTGTGAAATAGATTGCCACAATTATAAACTAAAATGCCCAAACGGACATGCCCAAAGCCCCAAACGGACATTTTTATCGATCGATAGTTGGTAAAAATTGAAATGACCGTTTCATGAAAATGCCTTGAATAACAAAATGTGGCACACCAATTCTATTTGACCGTTTGAGGCTGAGAGCAGCCGGTCTTTTTATGAAAGTTTCGGTCAAGTCCGGAATATATGACCGTTTTGGAAGCCCTGGTATAATTTCAGTTCCCAAATTTTCCTGACAGTTTCTATCTGCAACTGAAGCGCCTTCTGAGATCAGATAACAACAGGGAAAGGAACTAACTTTGTACTAATATTTCTCCAACAAGTCATAGAGTTATTCCGCTTTCTATAGTATCGCCAAGTTTGCCAAAAAATCATTTTTAGTAAAAATTATCATATTTCAATTACTTTTTTAATAGAAAAATGAATATATTACACATTTAATTAAGTTTATTAATGGAAATTTATGTAAATGTATTATTTTTTATTGCAGCCCGTAGTTAAATATTACTTTTTTTTTTATCAATTAATTGAATCAATCATTGGGGCGTTATTTACACCTGGGTAGTTAACCAATCAGATTGCGAGATTCTTCCTTCATAAGAAATAAAAAGCTTTATACAATGACTTTACTCTATTGATTCACCTGTAGCTGTCTCTTTTTCCAATGCATTCCTTTGTGACAATTACAGAGGTGACCAAAAAGTAAGAAGATTGTCATTGGTCAAAAGACTTTCCCTGAATGTGAAGGAATGTTGAGTGATGAGTAAAAGTAGGAAAACTTGTTTACGGATAGAAACTCAAGACTTACTTTTTTAATCCAGGACTGTGTCTGAAATAAAAAAAAGAATAATCCTATAATGAGTAAAAGACAGGCAAAAGATACCAAAGGGATATTCAAACTCATAAGTCCAAAATAAACTGACAACGCCATGGCTCGTGTTGCTCATGTTAGTACAAACCCGGTAATAAGTCTAATTCGGTAGGTCACATTCAGGGAAAAGGGGACCGGATTGTAGTTACGACATTTGGAACATATCCGCTATCATCTGTGAAAAAAGTAAATCAATCTATAATTAAAACACAATTTAGTGTGATACTTAATTACTTATTTAATAAAAACTTTAAAAATCCATCTTATTTTAGTGATGGATGTACACATGGTCCCTCATTTCAGATTTGTTTTGTTCTGTCAAACTTAGCCACATTGAGTTTAAAGACACTAATTTAGCAAATTGTTCCCTAATGTCAAATATTGTGGTAAATACTTAATAGCTTTTGTTATAAAAATAATTTTTTTTGAGAAATATCTGTTTTTGCCAGGATTTAAATGAAAATGGATTTATATATGTAATTTACTTTGAAATAAACAAGAATGTGTCCATAGTACACGGATTCCCCACTCGCACTATCATTTTCTATGTTCAGTGGACTGTGAAATTGGGGTCAAAACTCTAATTTGGCATTAAAATTAGAAAGATCATATCATAGGGAACATGTGTACTAAGTTTCAAGTTGATTGGACTTCAACTTCATCAAAAACTACCTTGACCAAAAACTTTAACATGAAGGACCAAAAACTTAAATCTGAAGCAGCACAGACCAAAAAACCTAATGCCCCATAGGTGGGGCATAAAAATCCAAATTTTTTAAACATATATTTTTAAAATTTGTAAGTCTCATTATATCTAAGTTTCATCAAAATTGGTCCAGTAGTCTCTTAGGATTGCCTCTGACTCTGGAGGTGAGCACACTATCATAATACAATCGAGGCACTTGATACACTAAAAAGGTTAACACACAATGGGAATTATTATTTTTCCAGTTAAGTATACATATGTTTACGAAAAAAAATGGAAGAAAACATGTGTTCATGACATTTCATACTTGATATTCAAACTTATAGTAGATAAGTAAATAGTTAGCGTCTACAATTATTACCTTGTATCAACCTCAGGTAAAGGCAAACTCCTAAAAGAGACCATAGAAAATATAAACAAAATAATAAATCAAAGATTATGACCAGATTATTGTTCAATAAAATATATATATCATTAAATGGACTCAATTTTTTTCAAGCTACTGAGTAGTCAACATCTAAAATTTTTGAATAGCTGAGTGATTGAACATATATATATCATTCAAAACAAAAGGTTATCCTTTTTTAGTTTATACATGTACTAATTTGTATGTTTTTTAATGGAAATATATGGTGCATCAGACATTGTCAACTGATAGCATGACCTCATTAATATCATTGATAAACGGGTATATGAAATGAATAATGGAAATATCAATTTGGCAGTTCTTCTGGATTTTTAAAAAGCTTTTGATGTTGTTGATCATGAAATTGTATGCAATAAACATTTTGTTTGTTTTGGACACAAATGCTCGTCCATCATATTTTAAACTGCTATATAGACTTGTATGCAATTAAAAGTACAAGGTGCTTTTCAAATTAGTACTGTTATTGACCTGGAAAAAGACTCTAAAGGAATATAATGTACCAGAATAACACATAGCAAGAAATAATTATCCATGATTTAATTTTGGTCTATTTGTAAAAAGTTTCTTTGGTCATATTTTGTATTTTGTATTGTGTTCACTTTAGAATTTAAAAATATTAAAAATAATGTTTTGCTCAATTTCTTGCTCAGACCATAAATATTTTCGATGCACATATTTCATATCCTAATTTGTATGTTTTTTTTTAAAAGGAAATATATGGTGCATACTAAAATGTGACATGCAAGCAGAAATTTTTCTATATTTCCTGCCTTTTGGAAAAAAGAATAAAGAGACAGTACATAATAAATTTCAGTTGGTTGGCCTTTCGTGTACCCAAGGCAGGTGAGGAAGTCAACTTAGGAGCACTGTGATTGGATGTAAGGGTATTATATATTTTTTTTATTTATTTATGAATAACTGCAGTGTATATATTTACAAATATAAATTTTGAAACACATTGAAATATTATCATGAGAATTATTCGAAAAGGCTTCCAAATTTTCATAAATTTGATGTAAAATGACAGGGGCATGAATACCATAAACAAGCTCTGTTTGAAGATGGTCATGCTACCATTTTTTGACTTCAATTTCTTAAACAGAATAATAAAGATCTAATATCACACATAGCTGTTTTGTCCAGGTTTTTACGGACAGGTGAACATTTCATACAGTTTAAAGTTAGTTGTAGGGTTCTCCACAGCATTGTTAAGTAATAATTCATGTTTAACCTTTTTTTACTACCTGTTTAAGGGATTTTCATTTTACTTGTATTTCAATTGGTTTAAAAATTTATATAGTTAAAAGAAAGAAAGTCCAATAAATATATATTTTATTTTAGTCATAGAAAAATTTGCTTTTAAATTTTAATGGTGTCTATTTTGGATAATGATATTCAGATTTAGTATTTTTAGTAATAAGTTCAGCGATTTTTGCAAAAAGTTACAAAATATTTTCCAAGTTTCAAATAAAAGATGTTTCTTCTTTCAGAGAAATAAGCTGAATGACTGCATGTCCAAGTTCATGCAATAATCTGATCTTAATTGTCCCTCCCAATAGCTGGCTAATCCACTTCCTTATTTGACCATAGCATACATTGGCCTCAGGCAGGAGATAAAGTTTCTACACTCATGATGTACAATACTGCCCTAGACCCCAGATGGCTAATCCCCAGATAAAATTACTACACAGTAGATATTACTTAATCCTCAATGATTATCTGAACTTGCAGACAAAAATGTTTTTATTTCCAATAAATTTATTTCTTATATATATGTTTTGTACATAAACTGCTGATTTAAGATTACAAATAGGTAACAATGATAAGTGACTTACCGTTTATCTTCAACATCTTTACACTTATGTATCTTCATCTTTCTGTAATGTTTTGCTAGTTTTGTTGCAAATATAATACTTGGAATAAAAAAGAAAACACACCATCCTACTCCAAACCAAAATCCATTCTAAAATAGATCAGTAAAATTAGGGTTTAGAACAATCATTAGCAAATAGTTTAAATAAAAGAGTGTCTCAGTGGTTACAAAAATCAAATAGGAATAAGTAATATTCATTTTTAAATCGTCTTATCAAAGTACTTCATTTTTTGTCCTTATGAAAAGCTCACTGGATGCCAGAAACAACTTGCCATGAAAATGACTATAATTTACAAAAATAAATGGGTATTAAATCAAACTTGCATACATTCATTTCAATTTTGAATTCATTTTGAAATGGTGATTGCACTGTACATGTAATGAAGCAACAGGAACTACATTCAAAATTTTACACTATTTTAATACTTCAAAAATATGTTTAAGCCAAATAGTTGAATTATTTGTTTCATAACCATATCTTTATGGGAGAATTTATTTCCAAATGTCAATTAATAGTTGTCTTTTTTGTTAGCTCACCTGGCCCAAAGGGCCAAGTGAGCTTTTCTCATCACTTGGCGTCCGTCGTCGTCGTTAACTTTTACAAAAATCTTCTTCTCTGAAACTACTGTTCCAAATTTAACCAAACTTGGCCACAATCATCATTATGGTATCTAGTTTAAAACATGTGTCCGATGACCCCGCCTGCCAACCAAGATGCCCAACATGGCTAAAAATAGAGCATAGGGGTAAAATGCAAGTTTTGTCTATTATCTTGAAAACCACTATAAACAGAGAAAATCTGACAAGGGCAGAAATGTTTGGAATGATGAGATATACCTATTGTACATTTACTTCCAAACTGTCAGATGACTAATTATAGGAGTCATTGCCCTTACATGACGATTTTTTAACCAACTTTTAAATTTTTGCTGAAAATTATGATAGAGAGAAACTTTACATAGCAAAAATGATCAGCAAGATAAGTTCTTCAAATAAGTCAAATGGTTGAAATCGTCTGATGACCCCTCATTGTAGTTATTGCCCTTTAATGACGATTTTTACTAATCTTTTGTGTTTTTGCTTAATATCTGAAAAAGTATAATAGATAGATAGAAACTTAAATTGGCAAAAATGATCACCAAGACAAGATCTACAAATAAATCTAATAGTTGAAATCGTCTGATGACCTCTTATTGGAGTTATGGCCTATTAATGATGGCTCTGACAATTTTTTGTTTTTTTTGCCTTATATCTGAAAAACTATAATAGATAGATAGAAACTCAAGTAAAAAAAACGATCAGCAAGACAAGATCTACAAAAAAGTCAACATTGGTTATTGGAGTTGTTGTCTTTAATAACCATTTTTATCATTTTTACAGCGGATGACCGTGAGGGCATTCCGGTGTATTGCTATCGCCTAGATTGCCATTACGTAACTTTCATGTTGGGTTTTTAACCGATATATAAACATGATGAATACGCAGACATCATCAAGTGCAAAATAACATTCCTTATCGCTTGTTATAAATTCATTTCTTCGATGAATACTCATCAAATACTTTTTAAAGAAGATAAATTAATAATATTAAAATGTTTTGTTATATATATAAGTAAAAAATTATTAATATCTATGCACACACATGCAGAAGAATATCTCAAGAAAGTTTGCATTCTCAAGGAATGATAACTCTGCATGGGAGATTAAACATTTTTTGCGGGAAAATACGAATGCCTAATCAAATCCAATCTATTAGAAAAATTGAATTATTACAGAAGAGTGTCCACCATGCACTGCACTGCACTATTATTGATATAATAGAATAGAATGATATACAAATGCATGAAAATTATATCTACATTGTTGAATATGTACATAGACTTAAGTGAGCGACACAGACTCTTTTGAGCCTCTATTTCTATTATTCTGCTGTAAATTACACATCAAAGATTTTACACTCACTCCTTTCCGCATAGTGCACAAATACAAATTATTATATATTGAGAAATGCATTTAAATTTTTCCAATAGGATGCTTTGAATTAAAACAACAATATGCTTGATATTGATATGTTTACACTGATTTCATTTCAAGATTATTTTGTATATAGTGAACTTTTATTATCTCGTCTTACAATCTAAAGTATTAATTCAGTTTCTTGTCACCTTGGTGGTCATGTGGTAGCGTGATTGCCTAGAGTGCGGGAGGTGGAGGGTTTCAAGCCCTGACAGGATCAACCCAAAGATTTTATAATTGGTATTTGCATCTAAAAAATTTAAGGATAAAGAAATGAAGGACCCCCATCCAGACTCCCCGATATAGCACCCATTTTAGGTACACACTGAAATCCTGACTGGACAACACTCTAGACCTTGACTTTTGTCTGAAACCCTGACTCAGTCCAGACGCCAAACCTAGACAAGGGAAATTATACATAAATTAGCAGTATAACATTTAATTTTCCTGGCATTAGGTTGCCCTTTTAAGTATCCAACTTAGGTGAAGGAAGTCAACTTTGAAATGCTGGGATTGGTGGAATATTGATGATAATATATATTTTTTTTATTCATTTGTGAATAATAAAAATTTGTATATTAACAAGATAAATTTTAAAACACATGCAAAATTTTTTGGGAAAACTAAAGGCTTAAGACTTTTCATAGATATAACTTGTTTTTACGTAATGCTTTATTTATTTCTTCTTTGTAATACATGTATAAAGTTGCTTCATATGTTTGTAATAAACAAAAACTTTATAAAACATTGGTGTATAATGTGTCATTATCACTGAGAAACTTAAACAATGAATTAAGAAGACATTTTTATAAATTAAATAAATGATGAATAATTTTTGTTATTAGTGGTATGTTGAGTAAATCCATTGAATTGACATTAAATCATTCATAAGTATTTGATTTATTAGTAATTTATTTATTTGACCCCAAAAAATGGAACTACAAAATCAGTGGCGGATCCAGGGGGGGTTCCGGGGGTTGGAACCCCCCCTTTTTTTTGACGATCAATGCATTTGAATGGGGACAAATAGTTGGACCCCCCCTTTTTTTTGACGATCAATGCATTTGAATGGGGACATATAGTTGGACCCCCCCCCCCTTTATCCTGGGTTAGGAACCCCTCTTTTATAAATGGCTGGATCCGCCCCTGAAAATGATAAAAATACTCCGCAGGGTGCAGCATAAACAACAGCTGAGGTCAAACCCTGAACAGTTGGGGCAATTATGGACACAACATTCAAGCTTGGTACAGTTCTGAATGTGGATTGTGATAAAATATTTGATGCAGCATAGCTTTCTGACACAAAATGAATGTTGCCTAAGAACTTTTGAAATTTGACATTACCTATTATGGTCCAATATTCAAAATCTAAATACATGGTAAGATTCAGCATATCAAAGAACCCCAAGAATTAAATTTTTGATGAAATCAAACACTGTTTAATTTTGGACCCTTTTGGACCTCAATATGGACCAATTTGATAACTGAGCCCAAAACCCATAATCTAAATAAAAGGTTAGATTCAGAATCTCAAAGAACCCCCTTTATTCAATTTTGTTGAAATCAAACAAAGTTTAATTTTGGACCCCAATTTGGACAAACTTGAAAACTGGACCCAAAATCAAAAATCTAAATACTTGTTTAGATTCAGCATATTAAAGAACACCAAGAACTAAATTTTTGTTAAAATGAAACTAAGTTTCATTTTGGACGCTTTGAACCTTAATGTGGACCAATTTGAAAACAAGGCCCAAAATCAAAAATTCTAAATACATTGTTAGATTCAGCATATCAAAAAACCCCAATAATTCAATTTCTGATTAAATCATAATAAAGTTTAAATTTGGACCCTTTGGACCTCAATGTGAATCTAAAAATGGAGCCCAAAATCCAAAATCTAAATATACCGTTAGATTCAGCATATTTAAGAACCTAAGAATTTAAGACTTTGAATTAAACCCCATTGAAATTGGTCAAGAAATAAGCAATTTATACAAAGTATTAGAAAAGTATTGTTTTTGGCCCATTTTTCCTAAACGGTTAGTGCCATAACCCAAAAAATCAATCACAACCTTCCTTTTGAGGTATGGAACCTTGTGGTACAATTTCATAGAGATCCATATACTTATACACAAGTTTAAACAGGGACTAAACTTAACTCTTTTTCTCCAGGGGCCAGCTGGGCCCCCAAAATATTTTTTTAGGGGCCCAGTTGAAATTTTAGGGGCCCAACCAATCTTTATACTAATAAAATAAAACTTAAATGTACATTTCATATACTAATAAAGCCTTTTTATGTAGTCCTATATGTAATGTTTGAGTCTGGTAAAGGTTATATGTGGTAACTTTATAATATTTGAATTATTGCCATCATAAATATATCATAAGATTTGACAATACTGAATATAGAATATTTCCCGCCAAAATTGTCTCCCTTCAATTTGAACTTACTGTTGACAATATAGCTGTTTCCATAAAATATTAAATGTTATTTCAAATCCAAGCCATCCTCTAATAAGTGTTGATCAAAAATATTATATAATTACTTTTCATGGAAGATTGGTTAGCATACTAGATATTATTATATTTATTTATGAGATTTTGCGTTTCATTTTTTCACTGAAGAACAAGTTGTGTTTACAAGTTTTTGTCAAAAACGGACTTGTAATGACTCCCTGAACAACTGGGATGTATCTCTAAAGTAATTCAGATTCAACAGCGTAAGGAAAACACTTAAAAATAATGAATTAATCGTAGAAGCTATAAAAAAGAAATTAGAAAACGTGTTTAGAGAAGTGGTATACATGTGTCAAATTGTGACTTCGCATCGAAAACTTAGTTGTCTGACTGGGTTTTGGTTATCAAAACGAAGGTCGTCGTTTTGATAATCAAAACCCAGTCAGACAACTGAGTTTTCGATGCGAAGTCACGATTTGTCGAAAAACTTAGTTGTCTGACTGGGTTTTGGTTATCAAAACCCAGTCAGACAACTAAGTTTTCGATGCGAAGTCACGATTTGACAGCGTCATAAATCTAAGAAATGTTGAGATAACACAACGTTATCTACTGGTTTCC